TTGTGCTTTCGGATGACATAGCTATTATTACTGCAATAGTTTATGCATTACTTTTCCCGACTTCATATATGATAATCATAAGTATATCTGTAATGGTGCTAGTGCGGAGTATCAGAGATCAGAGAAAGTCCTCGCAATCAACACAATTCTTGGCCAATCAAAGAAGAATAACAATTAGTGTGATTTCTTTCGTGAGTTACTTCGTTCTGAACATCCAATGAGCTTAGCCATTCAGATGACAGCCGATATAGTTGGAATCGGTCTTCCCATCATCTGTCTAGTTGCTTGTGGGTGTTTTGGTATAGGAACTACAGGTGTACAGTCTATTTTCATGTCTACTAACTATTTCTTCCTAGTCGTTTTCCAATGTGTAATGATAAGCATGTGCTTGTACCCTGCATTTGGATCGTATTTCGTCTTGATGTCCAACACCGAGTACAGGAATAGGATTAACTCCATTTTCAGGAGAGGTGAGTTTCAGAATGATCACTCTGAGTAGATTTACAGAGACTACGATACAAGATTGTGTTATCCTATTGTTTCAGGCCAGAAGGTGCAGTTAGCACAACATCTTAGTGGATGATTTTTGTAGTTTGTTATGTGCAGGATGCAAAAAGTGGAGTATGTGTCTGTGGTTGTGGACGTGGCTGCCTCGCTCACACGACTCCAAAGTTCCATTTAGCGTCGTTATTTCTTGCTTATGAAGTTCAACGTTCTATCGAAATCATCTAGAACTGCCAACCTACTTCTTCTGTGGAAGCCTCAGGTCAGTGTTGAAGTAGTACTTCTGAAAACAGTCTCGGATTTGAAAACTGATTGAAGTTCAGGTTATCTAAAGAAGCGGTTGTACGGAGTCTGTGAATCTCAAGAGAAACGAGACTGATACCAGAGTACTTATCGAACATCTCATTCTTGATCATAAAATCATTGTTGCCAAAAATATGATAAAGTTTCTGAGAAAGGAAATGTATATGAGACACGAAGTATGAACAACGAAGAAAACAAATTGAGGGAGTAAGAGGGGTGAGAAACCTTGTTGAAGCCGGACGTGCCTACAGTTGGAAGTTCTGAACAAACGCTGAATATAGTTGTCTCTATTTTTCTTTTTATATTGCCCTTTTAACTCAACTTTTCTGACAATGTGATCAGGAACAGAACAGGGGGCCTTCTGATTCAGACAGTATAGAGAACTGAGAGAGTAAACTCGGGAGTGTTAGAGAAACATAACATCTTCTTGCTGACGCCTAGTCACGTACACAATTTTTAGATAAATTGATCATCTGATATTCTCTCCGAAGCTCTA